ACTACAAACTCTGCCTCTAGGGTTCAAGCCATTCTCCTGCCTCAGCCTCCCGAGTAGCTGGAACTACAGGCATGTGCCACTACACCTGGCTAATTTTTGTATTTTTAGTAGAGACGGGGTTTCATCGTGTTGGCCAGGCTGGTCTCAAACCCCTGACCTCAGGTGATCCACCCGCCTCAGCCTCCCGAAGTGCTGAAATTATAGGCCTGAGCCACTGTGCTCGGCTTGTTGTTGCTGTTTTTCCTTCTGGGCTCAGGACATCCCACTTGCTTGGGCACTCATCCTGGCAGGGAGGAATCTCAGGGGATACCTGCAGCTGTTAAGTCAGCACCTTAAAAGAAACTGGACCTTGATTTGCCTTAGAGTGTCATCTCTAGGAAAGGTAATGATGCCCAAGAATAGGGTAGTGACTGCCTGGATTGATATAGAAGCAAACATTTTCTTAGTGGCAAGAAAAGCAGACTAAATATCCTTGCAGGCTGAGTCAGCATTGTTTGCATGTCTAATTTTTTCATCAACTTCTGTGGCATGTTTTTCTAACTTAACTGTTCTCTTTTGATGGAGCAGAGAGCCTTGGGTTTGTGATTCATGTGAAATTGACACATTCTTTCTACCTTAACCTTTCTGGCTAAAATAGGAAATGGGAGGATTAGCTCCAAAGTACCTGAGAGGTAAAGCCAACTTGGCATGCTGGGAAGGCAGAAGCAGGTGTTGAGGATGAATCAGCCAGTGTCCCTCCATCGCCGACTGGTATTGCCTTCTTTTATCACATGAATTTATACAGTAGCACTTCTCTGACATCTGTCAGACTTGCCTAGTTTCCTAAAGACCTGGACAGGATAACCTCGGATTCATTTTGGAGAACCTTTATAATTTTTTTTTAAGCCCTTGGCTCAGAAAGGCCTTTTGGCTGGCCTTTTGTTATTCTTGCCAAGCTAAGCTAATAGCCTTGGAAACACAACACAAGGGCTCTTTAAATAAAAGTTATGTTTGAATGCTTGGAGGAGGATCAAAGTCATCTTTAAAATGTGCATGCCTTGAGCTCTTTGTGAAGGCATGCTCATAAACTGGAAGGAGTAGTACCTTTCTCCAGTGACTGCCCTCCCAAGATGACTGAAGTCATTTCAATCTGTCTTACCTTCACCTTGGAGAAGGTAACTTTCTACAGGGCACAGACAAAGACAAAGCAAATCCTGGCTGGTGTTATATCTCCAGACCTCTTGCACCTTCCCCTGCAGCCAGACCCTTGACCCTGAAATGCTCAGATGATGCAACTCTGCATCACATTCCCTGAAGTGCCCTGAAGCCTTGGTAATAGCAGCTATCAGAGCCTGCAGTCTGACAGGAAAACGCAGCTTCTTGGAGGGAAAATGGGGGACAGGCATCCAGACACTACTGCTCAGTTTAGTTGATTCTGCATTTAGTTCTAGGGTTATTTGCCTCCCTCCATTTTTTGATAAACAGTACTTTTGTGAGGCAACTTTCTCTCTAGGTAATATCCTGGAGTTGTCCCCATGGGGCTAGAGCTTCCGAGCTGCACGCTGCTGGAGCCTTCTAGAAACCAGTGGAATTTCCCTAGAAGAGGCAATGGTATTCCTTTCTCATTTTCTCCAGCCAGAATAATCAAAGGAATGTAAATGTTTGTCTTGTCTTTTGGGGGTTTATTCATAACTGTTTTGAACTTGGTGTGGCAGGCCAAGTGGAGATTTGTAGATGAAACCGTAAGTGTCACCCTAATTCTGGAGAGACACCTTCCATATCACACATGACAGTGGTTTGCCCTAGTGAGGGAAGAAATGGGACATCAACTGTGTGGTTAGATTTCACTGCTTGCTTAGGAGTTTTGTGGCACTGTGCATGCAGCCTAGGCCATTGAGAAATGTCCTGATCATTTCCATCCCTGATGGATAACTTTATACACTCAGGTACACTCACCCAATTCCATATATAGGTCAATGTGTTGTTCCCAGCCAGGGACGGTGGCTCACGCCTGTAATCCCAGCACTTTGGGAGGCCGAGGCAGGCAGATCACCTGAGGTCAGGAGTTTGAGACCAGCCTGGCCAACATGGCGAAACCCTGTCTCTACCAAAAATACAAAAATTAGCTGGGCATGGTGGTGCACGCCTATAATCCCAGCTACTCGGGAGACTGAGGCAGGAGAATCACTTGAACCTAGGAGGCAGAGGTTGCAGTGAACCAAGATCGCAGCACTGCACTCCAGCCTCGGTGACAGAGTGAGACTCTGTCTCAAAATATATAAATATATAGTTCCCAAAGCTAATTTAACAAGGCCTGCTTCTTCTTCTTTATATTATCTGGCTTTCACTTTAAAAATCTAAGATTACAGAGAGGTACATTTCCTCCCACAGGGTATGTTAAAAAGCTCCAGGTAGGGCCCTGCTTCCATCAGGTGAGGAGACTGTTTTTGAATAGTCACACAAGATTTATAGGCTGACTGCAAAAGTGAACTTCATGCTGGACTCTCATTTTCAGGACGTATGAAGGGGTGTTATGTGTACATCTCAGCTTCACACAGCCCAAGCATCTCAAATCCCTGTCTGTGTCTCAGGGCATAGGAAATGACTGCGAACACTTATTTTTTGTTTACCTCCTACATGACACTTTATAGGAAAAATTTCAGTTTGCTACCCTTTAGATTAAAATGTCCCATTTCTGGAAGAGTTTCACCTTTATAGAATGGGGGCTGTTTACGAAGTCTCACTAGGTTGGGTATACTCTTTGCTCTGAGAACTCAGCCAGCACCAAGTGGTAGGAGCTTCATTCCTTCACCACATCAGGGACACGGATCCTAAAACACTGGAAGAGCAATTGCATCTCTATGGATTACCCATGTTAATAAATGGGGGAGGGAGAAGGGTGTAGTTTTTTCCCAGAAGCAGGGGTGGGGAGAAGAGACACTAGCATTTATTAGACATAGTCTGTAACAGAGTCTTTGCTACATGCATTTTCTCATTGACCACTGAAAGCAGTCCCGTGAGGAAAGAATTTTTTTTTTTTTTTTTGAGATGGAGTCTCGCTCTGTCGCCCAGGCTGGAGTGCAGTGGCCTGATCTCAGCTCACTGCAAGCTCCGCCTCCCGGGTTTACGCCATTCTCCTGCCTCAGCCTCCCGAGTAGCTGGGACTACAGGCGCCCACCACTTCGCCCGGCTAGTTTTTTGTATTTTTTAGTAGAGATGGGGTTTCACCGTGTTAGCCAGGATGGTCTCAATCTCCTGACCTTGTGATCCGCCCGTCTCGGCCTCCCAAAGTGCTGGGATTACAGGCTTGAGCCACCGTGCCCGGCCGAGGAAAGAATTTTTATTCCTATTTCATGGAAGAGGAAACCAAGGCTTAGGTTGTTGGCAAGGGACACAAAGCTGGTAAGGAATCAGAGCTGTGTGCACACTCATTGTATTCCATAGTCCCTTGCTGGGCAGTTGGGGAATACAGAATATCAATCCTGTTGCATAGAAGCTTCTAGCAGCCTTCCAAGGCTCCGAAGGATCACTTCCTGTCTCCTGTTCCAGGAGGGAAGATTCTTGAGCCCCTGCAAAGCAAACACTGCAGCCGGCCTACTGCCTGAATATAAGCCAAGCACACTCCCCATGGCTCTTCTAAGAATCGGGGTGTGCCTTGTACCCACTGGACTAATAAAGATTTGCTGGAAGAATAAAGTCATTCATCAGCTGATAACACCATTTCTCTATTCATGAGTAAACTCTAGGCAAAATCAAAATCACATGGAGACCCAGGGGCACTAGCTCTTCCAAACAAATATCTTTTTCTAAGGAATTGTGCTGTTGAGTATTTTCTCCCATGTTGTACACAAAGGAAACTACCCAGTATTCCTTTGGCCAGGTAGCAATAGGTATTTTTCTGAGGAGATAGGATCCTCTCAGTGGGAAACAGGGAGCTGTTCATTCCTTTGTTGTCTGTCACAGCAAGTAAGTCCATTGCCCCCTGCAGAATCCCCTCATGTCTGAGGTATTCTAGGCAGGACTGCACCATCCCATCAGAGATCACTCTGAACACAGCCATTTGTAGCTTGTAATTTTACTTCAGAGGGCAGGATTGGTCCTTTAGTGAAACCAAGCCACCATCATATTGAGAGGTAAGACTTTTTTTTTTTTTTTGTTAAATATGGGGTCTCTGTCACTCAGACTGGAGTGCAGTGGCGCTATCACAGCTCACTGCAGCCTCAACTTCCCTAGGCTCAGGTGATCCTCCCACCTAAGTCTACTGAGTAGCTGGGACTACAGGCACACACCATCACTCCCGGCTAATTTTTGTATATTTTTGTAGAGACGAGATCTTTCTGTGTTGCTCATGCTGGTCTTGAATTTCTGGCCTCAAGCAATCTGCCTGCCTCAGCCTCCCAAAGTGCTGGGATTATAGGGGTGAGCCACGGCGTCCAGCCGACTATCTCTTACTGTAGTAACTTCTAACAAAATCCTACTTTCATCTCCACCACAAAATATGCATGCAGCTGTTCATAATGGCACTGTATTTCCGCCTTGTAATCCCATTGGCTAACATGAACAATCGGATTATCTTTCCTCAAGCCTCGCTTTTTCATTCTTGGGGTAAAAAGTTTTGAAAACAATAATCCAGCTAGGCACACTGGCTCACGCTTGTAATCCTAGCACTTTGTGGGGGTGAGGCAGGGGAATCACTCGAGGCCAGGAGTTCAAGACAAGTGTGGGCAGCATATTGAGACCCTGTTTCTACAAAAAATAGAAGAATTAGCTGGAGTAATGGTGTGTGCCTGTAGTTCCACCTACTCAGGAGGCTGAGGTTTGAGCCCAGTAGGAGGAGGCTGCAGTGACCTGAGATCACGCCGCTGCACTCCAGCCTGGGTGACAGAGCGAGATTATATCTCAAAAAACAAACAAACAAACAAAAAACTGTGTAAAATCTAATTCAACTGATCATATCTCTGCCTTCCCACACCCATCCAAGTAAGTTAAAACAACAGATAACAAGAAGAAAAAGGCGGGGGGAAGGAATGAGGGAAGTGTTTATTGAGACTGAAATGGAACATTGTTCTCTTTTATGAGTTAACAGCAGTGTGTTAAGAGGCTGGTTACAAACTGACTCCAAAATGATAACTCGCAGCTCATGAACAGCTCTGCCAACTCTAGTGCCACTAATTGGGGCATCCTAGTAAGGGGTAGAACCATTTAGCCAAAGAGAAATTACTGATTCAATTTCATTTACATTTAGATTTATTTCTTATAAATAATAGCAATATTTGCATTTTTAAATTCACATTGAATCATTATTTACTATTTATGATGTTTACATAACAATTCAGTATCATTATGTTGTAGATTTCAGATGTAGGTGGTCAATACTGAGCACTTATTTACTCTTCTGCTGTCTTTGGCACAATTTCTCATTTCTTAAACATGAAAGCACAGGTTTAAGTTGGCTACACAATACTGCAGAAACATGACTATTTTGGATCTCAGTGTAAGTACAAGTTTATGTTAAGCATTATTTACAAGATGAGAACTGAAGCACAGACTTTAATAAACTATCTTCATAAATTAGCAGAATGACAAGCAGAGGATGTAATGAATAGGGCCAAGATTACCAGTTAGAACAGTCCTCCCTGGAGGAGGAGATGAGTGTCGTAGAATGGAACTATTTTCCCCGAACCACTGATATCAGTTTATGTCACGGGATTTACTCTGCAAGAACCCAGGTTAGGGGCAGGTCTTTTTCTGCAATGTGGCTTGTTCAACCCATGGAATCTTTATTAAAATACAACTTAGTTAGCTGACCAACATTATTTGGGCCCTGATAACAGAAGTGCAAGGATGGCAAAGTACTGGCCTCTTTGAGTACGAATGAACTTGGAAGAATAAAGCCTTCCAGTTGGATGAAGGCACATCCAGCCTTTTGTGAGTGACAGCTTTGTATATAATCTTATGCAGAGCTAATATGGATTGCCTCGAGGCAGCTCAAATCTGGAAGTTGTAAATGAATGGCTATGCCACCTTGGAGTATCACCATAGTACATCTCTGCTTTAGGGCTGATATACAGATGTGAAACGATCGAACAACATGATTTCTCATTCTAGTGCTCCTGAGAAAGGAGTTCTGATAAGCCCCAAAGCAGACCTGGGTTGGAATTGTGGTTATTATTCAAGTACAAGGAGAACTCTGTATTTCACATTGACGGTTCAGTTCTGATCTCTGTCTGGCAAATTATATGAAAATAATAAATATATACATATATATATATATATAGCTCTACGCTGAATAGTTACCAGCGTCCCAATACAGTACATTGAAAAAAGAATCCTTCTCCCTTTCTTCCAAACCCTATGCCCATCTTAAAACTTATTGCAGAACTATGCTGGTCTGTTTTCTTTGAAATTGGCTGGAGATAAGTTAAAAATGGACATTTTGGCACATTAACTGGGGAGAGGTGGTTGAGATGCATTATAATTTATAAAAAAGTGAAAGGTCAAAGGAAATTCATGCCAATAGAAAGCCTGAGTAAACATTTGTAACCAATGACAGAATATATTTTTTAAAACCCAAAACACTTGTCTATGCACGAGAAAGCATTTTCTTTTTCATATCCATTACCTAATTCTAATAGTTATTACTTTATGTACTTCCAAACTTTGTCTCTTATAGAATTTCTAAAACTCAGATAATAGAACTTTCCTTTTAATGGATTTCCCTTCATCTTACCCCACACCCAAATCCCAAAACCCGGAGAGCAAAGGCTGTGAATCCAAATATAGAAAATAATCTGGAGGTCTGTATATAAAATCAAATGAACACCTGGCCATTAGCATTTTTCTTTTCCTTAACCAGTGTTTGAGATGACTCTCATGGGAATGTCCTTCCTTGTTTTCAGTTATCTGCAGCCAGGGGCCCTAGAACTGTGAGGTCTGGGTGAATGAGATGGTGTCAGACTTGTCTACTGCAAAGCCTCCATTGACATAAGACTTCTTGGTGTCTGAGTCTTCGTTGTCAAGGATTGTAGATTCTAAGGCAAAGGGATTCACAATGTTGACTTCAGATGAAACATCCATCTGCTCCAGCTCCTTCTTGGAGAGCTTTTCCACGATGCCTGTCCCAAAAGCATCACCAAGGACGTTGACCATGGTCCTGAACCGGTCCCTGGGGAGAGATGGGAGGTGTCAGACAGGAGGCCCAGATTTCATTTTCCTTCATCATCGGAGAGATGCAAGGACCTGACATGTTCAGTTTAGATTTAAGTAAATGCAGAAAGTGCTGTCCTTATGACTGACTGACTGAAGGCTCCTCACAGGCCTGGGGTTGTTCATAAAGGCACAGCATGAGCTCTCCCAAAGTAGCAATGATTCCCCTAAGTCTCCCTAAATTCCTTCCTCTTCTCCCAAAGAAACATGAATAGAGTTGTTCCAGATATTTTCTGGGGGAACTGAGGGAGGTTCAGAATTCAGTAAGTTTTTCAGCCCTAACCTCTGTCTTGTGGTTTTCTAGATTCAATGCAAATGCCATTGTGGGCTGTCTTTGGGCAAAGGTCAGAGAACTTGGGTGTTTTGTGGGTGGTGTATGTACCATGTGCATGTGGGGTATGTGTGTGTTTGTTCAGGTCTATGGTGTACTTGTTTATTTACCAATCTAGGTCACTCTACTTATGAGCAAACCAGGAGGCACGACGCAGAGCACGGGGTCAGAAAACACAGGTTAGCCCAGGAATAGATTTCTCCGTGGGCCACCCTCATCCAGTCTTAACTCCCAGAGAGCCTGGGGAAGAGACCGGTGACAGGAAGACAGGTAGAGAAGGCACACTGCAGAGGAGAGGATCCATTTTGATACTGGTGCTTTGTTGATAGCAACTGCATGCAGGGGGAATCTTGTGAAAACTACACCTGCAGAACAGAAAAGGCTGACAATGCTTACACATGGCCACACTGGATGCCCTTCTGTTATTTAGAACAAGTCCAGGGATTGAACTGGACCTAGTGTCTTTTTATCCCATACCTCCAATTGGACCTTTGACTCATCCGGGTATCTTGGCAGTGAAGGTAACTGGTTCTAGGAAGACTCAGGGAAAGGAGAAAAGTGCAAATCCACCATCATCACTAGAAAGAACCAAATCTTGCCTCAATGCTAGGATATCTTTGCAAGAAGGGTGCCACCTCATTTGGGCCTATAGCCCAGTTAGCTACTGAGGCCCCCCCCAACCCATGACACAGCTTCCAAGCCAAGTGCAGAGGCGTTGCCATCTGAAATGTGCATCTGTGTTTTCAAGCCCACATAGGATGTCTCTGCTTCCCTTTCCATCTCATCTATCACCTGCAAACTACAGTACATAGCACTGTACTTCCCAGTGAGCCTGAGCTGGTTCTGAGCAAAGGCTCCATGTGGAGTGATACTTACCTGCAATGCCAGGGGACAGAGCCAGACCTAGATGCTGTAAGACCCATGCACAGAAGTGGGCATCAAGGGTAAAGCTAGGAGCCAAGCTAGTTCTGACTTTAACCTTGAGGGTCACTGAAGGTATGTTCTCACATAGATGTTCTGCTGTATTCTGTGTGTGTGTGTGTGTGTGTGTGTGTGTGTGTGAGAGAGAGAGAGAGAGAGAGAGAGGAGAGAGAGAGGAGAAAGTGTTGTTGATTGGGGCCTGAATAGTCCAACTCATTCTAATCATAACAATGAAACTTGCCATTTATTGAGCATGTATGGGCTGCCAGATACTGTTCTAGACACTCCATTCACATAAGCTCACTCAGTCCTTAAAACAACCCAATGAGATAGGCAGATTTTTTCCCATCTCACAGATTATACAACTGGGCCTCAGGTTACGGAACTTGCTCGAGGTCAAGGAACTTGCTCAAGGTCAAGAAGCTGGTAAGACACAGGATGGAGATGCAAACCCAAGTGCTCGTGCCACTGTCCCTAACAGTTCGGAAGATGCTTAGGAAGATGGACTGATTTTGAACTAGGTGGTTCTGAGCCTATGATGCTGAACCGGGGCTGGGATAGGCCAGGATGGCCCCAGGGCCCTGCCTAGCTTCTCACCTTGTTGTTCTGTGTTTATCTTTGTTCCACACCCAGCTCCTAACCTTGAGCATTACCAGGTATAATGAGCTAATGGAGCTCACTGGCTTTTTAAAATCACTACTCCACATTATGAGGAGTTAATTTTTAAGCACATTATCAGATGGCCTGGTCAGAGGAAAATTAAAGCAGCAACAGGTGGCTCATTAGGCAATCGGAGGAGAGAATGATGACAGACTGCAAAGCCCGCGAGGCTGGGAAGCCTGCCCGCACATCCGGCTGAGGCAGTGCATTTATTTCAACTCACAGGAGCCAGTCAACAGCAATGATCAGGGTGACATCCTCAGCGGGCAGGCCCACGGCACTCAGCACAATCACCATGGTCACCAGGCCAGCCTGGGGCACACCAGCAGCTCCGATGCTGGCAGCTGTGGCCGTGATACTGCAGAAACATACCAGCAGGAAAGGAGTTAGACAATTACCTCTCCCGTTAAAGCCCTGGCCTGAAATGGTTAGTCCCACTTAGTCGCGATGGCTATTACTGCTGTGTCCCTAAATTGGGCAGTTAGAATCTGTGACCTGCTGAGCCCCAGCTCTGCCTCATTACAGGATTAGAACTGCAGGGGGAGGGGGCTGGGCGGGGTATGATGCCATCTCCTTGCAGAGAGAGATGTGGCACATCACTCTAATGCAAGGAAAAACTGCATAAGTGGCACCAAAAAATGAGCAAGAGAGATACTCAAGAGAAAAGCAGTTTACTAAATGGGGTGTTAATAGAAGGCTTTATGTACTCATCTATGTATACATACACTCATCCTAAATAAGTGCCAGGTACCTCTGCACCTGCCTTCCTACTCCCTTCTTCCATCTACTCACCACGCAATAATTTACGGAGCACCTAATATATGGCAGGAATTTAAGTTGCCCTGAAGAATGGACAGAGGGATAGCTGTAGGGGCAGATGGACAACGGCATTTCAGGTGAAGGCAAAGGAATGAGACAATGGTTAAGCAGGCCTTATGTACTCTCTTGACATCACAGGACTCTTTACCTCTGGGAACTGCTCTTTAGGGCACTGGATTGAGAAAGAACTGATCCTGTCCAAGATGCAAGCATTTACTCCTGACTGCTCCTTTTTGCCAGTAGATGTACTTTGTGGGAAAGAAAGATCTGGAATCCAGGAGACGCAGCCAGGTGAACTTTATTACCAGGTATTTAAAAAGATTCCTCTTGGTAAGATCAGGTGAGGCAGTAGGGATTTTTCTTTTTGTAATGTGCAGTCTCTTTATCAGCATCTTCCTTATTTTAATTGGATCATTCTGAAGGAAACAAGGGCTCACCCTGCCCTGAAAAGTCCCTTGACTTAGATAAGCTTGAGACCACACCCACGATGCTTTCTGGAGACAAGTCCTTGCCCTTGGGCCAAGGCCTGAACTGCTGCCCAGGTGCCACTGGGTTGAAAGGTGAAAATGTAAAAATTGCCAATTTAAACTGGAAGAATCCCTGATTCTATCCACAAATTCATATGCTTTGGGTCTAAAAACGTCTTAGAGTTCTTAGGAAGCTGATTCTACTGCCCATTCATCTGCCTACTGAGGTGTTGCAGAAAGCATTTGAGGGTACAAACACAGGCCAGAGTTTTTTGACAAGTGTATTTTCATTCAGTGGTTTTGACCACCAAATTACAGTAAATTAGAGATTTCTGGGGCTGTACCAATTACTCTAAAGGTTTCAGGCCTCAGTCTCAAAGGTTTCTGGCCTCTATAACCCTTCGGATCTCTTCTGACATAATCACTCTTTGGAAAGCCGAAGTTTATTTTAATACTGCTTGAAAAAAATTTAAATGGAATGCATCAACAGGTTTTCTTTGTCAGAAGTGATTTGTGTCCATGCCAGCTGATCCCTCTTGGAAACCCTGAGGTGTCATAGTTATCCATGTTGCTATAGCCTGAGGCTGGGCTTGAAACTCAAAATTCATTTAGTCCAAGAAAACTCTGTCCTTGAGCCTTGACCTTGCTTGCTAGACTTCGGCTGTTTGACTGGCATTGGTCTGAAACTCAGAACTATGAACCTTCAGATGGGAGAAAATAATATAAAAACCTACTCCTGGCCAGGCGCGGTGGCTCAGGCCTGTAATCCCAGCACTTTGGGAGGCCGAGACGGGCGGATCACGAGGTCAGGAGATCGAGACCATCGTGGCTAACACAGTGAAACCCTGTCTCTACTAAAAAATACAAAAAAATAGCCGGGTGAGGAGGCGGGCGCCTGTAGTCCGGCTGAGGCAGGAGAATGGCGCAAACCCGGGAGGCGGAGCTTGCAGTGAGCTGCGATCCGGCCACTGCACTCCAGCCTGGGCGACAGCGCGAGACTCCCTCTCAAAAAAAAAAAAAAAAAAAAAAACCTACTCCTGCTGCTTGAACATATTCTACTTTGAGTTAGAGGATTTCCACAGAAGAAAACATAAATATCAGTGGCACAAAGTTCTTTCCACACACTGAGGCCTAGTTTTAGGACCAGCCACTGGACTCGGCTCTCTAAACGGGTTGAAGGATGGGTTGTGACTTGGAGGGAACACAGGTTTTAGTGTCAGACACACCTGGGTGATGTACTTTGGGCTCTACCATTTCACTGATGGCATTTCTTTAGGCAAGTTACTTCTCTGAATCTCAATTCCTTGCCTGTAAGATGGGGACAGTATGTCTACTACAAGCTGCTGGGAAGATTAAATGAGGTTAATACATGTAAGGCATCTGGTATAGCACTTGTAGATGCTTAAAAACGTGCCATTTCCACATGTATAGCTATGTAACAAACCTGCATGTTCTGCACATGTATCCCAGAGCTTAAAGTAAAACAAAAAACAAAGATTAAAAATGTGCCATTTCTGCTGCTACTTCTGCAACAGCAGTAGTTGCTGCTAATGCTTCATCTATTGCTGTTGTCGCTGCCACCACTGGTATTATTACTACTGCTACTGCAGCAACCAGAACAGCAACTATTACAACAACTACTACTACTACTATTACTACTGCTACCTTTTTTCCTCTCTGCTCTTTCTAGGCCCCAAATCCTATAATTATCTTTCTTCTTTTTATATATATATAAAATATATAAGATATATAAGATATATATATCTTTATATATATAAAATATATATAGATAAATATATAAAATATATAAGATATATATAAAGTATATGAAGATATATATATATATATATATTTTTTTTTTCTTCTTTCCCCCAGAGACAAGGTCTCACTCTATCACCCAGGCTGGAGTACAGTGGCATGATCACAGCTTACTGCAGCCTCCACCTGTTGGGCTCAAGTGATCTTCTTGCCTCAGCCTCCTGAGTTGCTGGAACCACAGGTGCGCTCCACAACACCTGGCTAATTTTTGCATTTTTTTGTAGAAATGTGGGGCTTCGCCATGTTGCTCAGGCTGGTCTCGAACTCCTGGGCTAAAGTGATCTGCCTGCATTGGCCTCTTAAAGTGCTGGTATTACAGGTGTGAGCCTCTGCGCCCTGCTGTATAATTAGCTTTACTTTTCTTTCTTTTTCTTTTCTTTCTTTCTTTTCTTTTTTTTTTTTTTTTGACATGGGATCTCACTTTGTTGCCTAAGCTAGAGTGCAGTGGTGCCATCTCAGTTCACTGCAACCTCTGCCTTCCAGGCTCAAGCAGTCCACCCACTTCAGCCTCCTGAGTAGCTGCAACTACAGGTACATACCACCATACCTGGGCTAATTTTTCTTTTTTAGAATATTTTTGATAAACATGGGGTTTTACCATGTTGCCCAGGCTGGTCTCGAACTCCTGGACTCAACCGATTCACCTGCTTCGGTCTCCTAAAGTGCTGGGATTACAGGTGTGAGCCACCGCTTCTGGCCCTAATTATTTTTATAAGACAATTTATCCTTTTTTTTTTTTTCATTTTGACACGTGTACTCACACCAATTTTCAATCAGTTATGACCTTTGGGTATTATGATAAAGCCACAAAAAGGTATGTTTTGGGTAGATGGTACCTATGTTTCTTTGACATCCAGTCCACAGAAATAGACTTTGGGTCTAAAAATCTCTTTAACCATTAGTCACATGAACTATAACGGTAACTGTCAAGTAAAACCAACTTTTATTATTTCCCATGTAGAGCCAGTGAGGATTTTAAATTTTAAGCCAATGATTACTTTGGGTCTCACAGTTGTTATTGGTTCTGGGCCAGTAGTTATCAGCAAATCTGATTTAAGAACACACCAGAGAGTAGGGGGAGAGGCTTTAATGTGAATTGATTAGCCTCTAGGCCCAGCATTCATTCCTCTGGCAGTGAGGTTAAAAAATGATTAGAAAGATCTAGAAAACTTATAACCAAAAAAGGGAGGGATTTCATCATAAAGTGGCAAATACACAAAAGAATTGGCACCTCATAAACCACTCCTTGGAAATCAGTTCAGTGAAGACTGGGTTCCACATGCCAGGGTGAGGGAAGTGGGAAAAAACCCTTGGAAATGTAAAAGTAACAACTGTTGGAAGCACAGGGGTGGTTGTGGAGCAGAAACTTTCTCAGGCATGACTCAAGGTTTCGATTTTGACATACTCTCTGCTGTTATAATTACATGACTTTACTCAATCTCTTTGGCACAGGCTTCTTTAGCCACTAACACTTTTTTATAGATTACACGGCATTGGGATAGTTCTCCAGCTGGTGTGCCAAATGGTGTATTTTGCACTTGTCTTCAGCCAACAGAAATACTTTGTGATTTAGGGGTGGGGAGGATTTAAAAAATGCATTGTGTTAGAACACTGTTAGTTAACAAACTCTGATTTTATGCCTAGAATTTATGTTTAGGCTGGGGATACAAGAATGAATTAACTCTAAAGAGTTCAGATTCAACCTTGAGCAGGCCTAGGGACCAGTTTAGTCTTAAACTTCCATTCTAAACTGAACAAAAGTCTTCAGGTTAACTCTAATCCCAGCCTATTACTCTAACATAGTGCTATCCAAAATAACTTTCTGCAATGATGAAACTATTCTGTGTCTGTGCTATCCAATTCAGTGGGCCACATGGCTAGTGGTTACCGTATTAAACAGTGCTGTCCTAGAGAAACAAATCTGGCAAAATCCACTTATGACAGTTCTACCATCTACTTGGGCAGACAATTTCTATCCTCATTTCATTAGAATTCTCTTCAGCATCTGACTCTGTGGACCATTTCACCCTTGAAAATCTCTCTTTTCTGGGTTTCCATGATACCAAGGTTTACTGGCTTCCCTCCCATCTCTCTGTCCTTCTCCCTCTGCCTCTTGGGTTTTCCCTTCTCTACCTGCTTCTAGTATTAGGATTTTCCAAGCCTCAGTCCTTAATCTCCTTCTCTTCTCTACAAACTCTCCCTACGTCATGTCATCCACTTTCAACATTCACTGAGTGCTCACTACATAGGCACAGTTATAAGCATTTTATATGCATCTTACTTAATTGCCACTACTTGAATAAGTTGTAGGTACTATTACTCATTTTACAGATGAGAAAACAGGAGCTTAAAAATTCAAGTCACTTGCCCAAGATCACAGCTAATCACGATGTAGCTGCGATTCCAATATAAGCAATAACTTGTGACTCATACATTTGAAGACCATCATTAAGCTCATGTCCCTGATGTCTGTATCTTCAGCTAGACCTGTATTTCTCATTGCATGGGTCCACCTAGAAGTCTTAAAGGTATTTCAAATTCAGTGTGTCAAAAAGTATTAACTATTTATCTTTCCCACCTATATGTGCTTCTCTTATACTAGTTCCTGTTCTGGTATACTAGTTCCTGTTCCTGCCCCACCCACCAATTTGGAATCATGTACCAATCCTGGGAGTCATCCTAGCATTCCCTTGCTTTTCACCCTGAATCCAGCTGATGCTTCTTCAATTCGTTAGCTCTTCTCCAACCTCAGTGTCAGTGCCTTCTAATACCCTGCCTGGACTTCTGCAATGGTCTCCTAACTGGTTTCCTAGATTTGGTCCCTGCTCCCATCCAATACATCTGCCATATTGCCAGTTATCATTGTAAAAGGCAAATCTGCCAGGTGTGGTGGCTCACACCTATAATCCCAGCACTTTGGGAGCCTGAGGTGGGCGGATCACCTGAGGTCAGGAGTTCAAGACCAGCCTGGCCAACATGGTGAAACCCATTTCTACTAAAAATTCAAAAATTAGCCAGGTGTGGTGGTGCATGTCTATAGTCCCAGTTACTCAGGACGCTGAGGCAGGAGAATTGCTTAAATCCAGGAGGCAGAGGTTGCAGTGAGCCAAGATTGTGCCACTGCACTCCAGCCTGGGCAACAGAGCAAAATTCCATCTCAAAGCATAACATAAATAAATAAATAAATAAATAAAATGCAAATATGTCCACAATGTGACAAAGCATCTAAGAACTTTCCACAAACTTTTCGTACAAAACCTTTCATGACATGACCCCTGTCTCCTCATTCCTTTATGTTCTCCACATTGTATCCTTTATGCCAGCCATAGCAAGAAATCTGTATGCTGTAACTAGCCTATGGCTGCATCACAAGCTATTTCTGCCACCCCAGATGCTCTTAGCTTCTTCCTTTGCCTGCTAAATTCCTATTCTTTTAAGATTCAGCTAAATGTTCCCCTCCTCTGGGAAGCCATCCTTCACCTTCACAGCTAGAACCAGCCCTTCCGTCTCTGGAGTCCTCTGTGAACACCATACAGAGTTCTCTTACATCCCTCATCAGGGTCTTCAGCATTCATTTGGATATGTGCATCCCAATCTAGCAGGGATCTTTTGAAAGCAGGGACTGGCCCTTACTCAGCCTTGAGTCTTTGTGCTAACCTGTGCCTAGATCCTACTGGCTTCAGTAAACCGAGCACAGGTGATGGCTTTGGCTACCCAGACCCCGAAGCAGAAATCTTGCATACCAGGATATAGTTGTATTTAATCTTGGGAAGGTACTTTGTAGATCAAGAAAAAGAATCCATCGCTGGGACATTCTTGGTGTCCCTTCACGGACCATTTTTACTGGCAGTAATCCCCATATCACCGATGACAATGAATGTGACACCACGCCCCACCTGATGGTGATGATCTGCCCAATGCCCAAATCCAGGTCATTCAACTGTGCAATAAACACCGCTGCCACTGCTTCATAGAGCGCGGTCCCATCCATGTTGATTGTTGCACCAACGGGTAACACGAATCGAGTGATCCTCTTGTCCACCTGGTTCTTTTCTTCAGCACAGCGGAAGGTGACAGGCAGTGTTGCTGAACTGTGTGATAAAAAGAGAAAGGAACTTATGGTCTAGAAATGCTGGTCCTCAGTCCCTGCCTGAAGCCATGCCTCTTCCAAAAAGTAAATAAAGGGTCCTTTTGGGTAATCTTGTCAAGAAAAGTAAAGAAAACAACAAAACAAAATGAAAGAAAGGATCCAAAGTATGTTGGCCCTTTAGGCAGGTCCAGGAATCAGAAGGTGCTGTGCCCACCGCTGCTCCCAGTTATGCCATAACCCCTTCCTGAGCTGCAGGCCATGCTAAGAGGGCAGGAAATATGCAACAGCGTGAAGCAATGTGTTCAGGGCCAGGGACAGAGAATATGGAGGCCATTTCTTAAAGGCAGCTACAAAAACCGCAAGCTGGAGTCTGTTTTGTAAAGTGAGGTGAGAGTTGATGACATTGAGTCTGGAGGCTTCTTCCAGAAACCCCTCTTCTGTTTACCTGGAAGAGATCATGAGAGCTGTCAGGAGAGCCTGGGCCATTCCCATGGCAAATCGGAAAGGGTTCTTTCGTACGACTATGAAATATATCAGTGGGAGAATTACAATGGAGTGGATTGCAAGCCTGTAAACAAGAAAGAGAAATTAAAGTTTCAAAGATAATACCACCTCCCCACACTTAATCCTTTTATCAAACATCTTTTTAATTTATAAAATTGACTTTCATAATGGCCCAATGAGAAATGGGAGTAGGGCAGGAATATACATCCCCATTCCATGTATGAGGGTGTAGAGGCTCACTCAACAAATGAAGCATCTTGTCAGAGTTAATGACAAAGCCAGTAGCTGAATCCAAATTTAAGGGTTCACAGAACAGAATTATATCATGCTGCCACACCCCTGTGTGTGCTATTCCTGCCACATGCACAAAAATGCCCTTTTTTCCTTCTGTTGCTGCTGAATTCTTCTCCTCTAACACTCAGCTAGGCATCCCCCTTCCTCCAGGAAGCCTTCCCTCACTTACCCAGGTAGGGCTGAGCCTTCTTTCCTTTGTACCCTCTATGTCACCACTACACTATACCTCATATACCTCTTATCACAGTGCTCAGTCCTTACCCCCTCCACTCCTTGCACCAAGCTGCTGTCTTGCTGGTGGCACCCACTGTCTAAGAGGGAAGTCAGATTTACAGTAAGGAAAAAAGTCTCAGCTCTTCCACAGCCATACTTTGGGATGGACTTTCTTTTCTTTATTATTCCTGCCTTTTCAAACTGTTCCTTATTTCACATGGAAATACACAGGTTACATGAACTAGGGGGTTTGGCAGATAGATATATACGTAACTGGCAGCTTACAGTCTACAGATCAGTTATGTGTGTTTGAAATAATGGTCATCAAAATTACAGATCCTGGAGGTCTGGAGAGAGGATCTTCTCGATAGAGAGCTTGTAGCTAAAAACCATGAGGAACTAATACTTTTAGTTTTCCATTAGACACCTAGCCGGGGTGACAGAATAGAAACCAGCAGAACTTGGTTATGAAATGGCTCAGCTCAAACACCCCAGCCACATCACTGCTGAGACACAATCCTTGGCACTGCCTGTTTCAGCAGCCCTACAGCAGGGTGGCCTCCAGTGAGGTGGAGGTCCCGCCTCCCTTGGCACCATGGTCCTCACACTGTAGGGACCAAATCTACCTCTGTGTTGACTGGCAGGGCTGTGTTTTTGGGAAACACAGATTAAGAACCAAATGTGCTGTGTTGGAAATCACCAATACGATCAAATTCCAATAGGTGAGGTGATTGCTCAAGTTGGGTGCTTGTAGGTATTGACTTGTGGGAGTCAAATCAATAATATTTACTTATTTCCTTAGTCTATATTTCTTAGCATATGTGACATATTCTGCCCCTGGCTAGGTGTCCAGGGGCACCATTCATGTCTTATCCCACCTCATATTTTCTCAAGGAAACAATAGCTAGGCTATAATAAATATGCAAACTACCCAACCCCTGCTGCCTTCCTGTTTAATGGCTTCTAAAAAGGCCCACACAATTCCTCCTAGCCTCGAGATTCTCCTGGCACCCTCTCTGACACTCTGATGGTGCAGGCCATGGTGGTGGTTAACAGCCCCTGCTTTGAACCAACAGCCATCCTGCTCCTACTTGCTCAAGTCTGATTTCATTTAGGCCCTTGCTAATTTCTTTCAGGTTCAAGGTGCATGGAGGCTATTCTTACTTGCTTGGCTAGTTTACATTCTTAAGGAAATGAAGGCCAGGAGAGAACCAAGGGAGGCTACAAGTGGGTTTTTCTCTTGTTTTAAAAAATTATTTTAACATAACCAATAAAGGCAGTGACAAAGCCTGGTCCAGGCTGTTCTGCCAAGAGCTGACAATTAGCACAGCATAATCCACCTACAGTACAGCTGTTAAAGGGCAGCCCTCCTCCCCCTGCTGTCTTATCTCTGAACCCTATCTTTCCCAGCACATAGGGGAGAAGCCAGTTTTAACCAACTGAAACCCAACCTCCCAGTGGTCATCCTATTGGATTAAAGGAACTTTCTGTCTCTTCTCTTGAGTCTGACATACCCAGTCAGGACTGTGGCCATGTAAAGGCCCAGCTTGCGGAATATTTCCCAGTCTTCAACTTCTATGATCTTCCCAGCAATCAGGAACAAAATACCCAGTGGCATATAACTGGAAAGGAAGCACAACAGAGGCATGATTCCGTCAGCAAGTGTTTTCTCATGCTGGGTTGGTGGGGAAGGAACAGGCCAGTTCCCTTGGCTTGGCATGCACGCTTGGTGGAGCACAGGATGCAGAACTGAAGCTAAGAGCTGTTTCAAGTCCTGGGTGAACAACACTGGCTCTAGTTTTCAGTACCTATGTGCACCTTAAATTCTACCCATCCAAAATACCACAGGGTAGTTTGCAAACTTGGCAAGAACATGTGGTTCTTGTTGATCTGAACAGATCCACATGATGATCTGAACAATTTTCATGGTTGCATCACTCAAAGCATTGAAGAAATCCACCAGAATTTGTGGATGAGGGCGCACACCTCATGCCATGTTCCTAGTGCATATATATCCTGCTGATTGTCATATCTGCAGATCTCACTTGAGCTTGATCCTTACTGACAAATATGGCTCTTTCTAGCCATGGTCATCTGTTTCCCAGGTATCAGCAATAGAGGCAATAGTATTAGTACTGGAAGTGATCATAATAGCTCTATTTGTGGAGATCTCATTACATCTTGCGTTAGGGAAAGTATTTTATGTGCATCATTTCATTTAATGTACTTCTCCTATCCCTGGGGGTAGGTTTTATTATCCTTTTTAACAGATGATGAAGCTGAGGTTTCTGCAGTATTAAGTGATCTGTCTGTCCATTTTTACTGAACCCTTTACACCACTGTCAGACATCACTGTCAGTATCTACACTTTGGATTAAATAATGTTGAACCAATTAAATATGAGGTAAGTGAGGCAGATGCCTCCTAAGAAAGGTGGACTTTTGGCATTTCCAGGGACAGGGCAGACACTCAAGTGGTGTCACTGGTATGCTCACGAATGGCAGCTTTCATTCAGATGGGTTAGTGCCCATGCTGTACCAGTTATAAATATTTTGAAACTCACTTTTGCATGGGGCACAATAGGGAAAGCACTTTGTGTTCTCATGTACAATGAACTCCTTCTAATCATTTTTTAAAGAATTGCTTCTTACATGAAGGCTGACTGGGTATAAGATGATCTCGCAAGGCTTTGAGGGAAAAGACAATGGTTGATAGCTAGACTTTTGTTCATGAACTAACTCCTGGGTAATACGTGGAATTATTTAATACTCTAGTGGTGGCTGGGTGTGGTGGCTCACACTTGTAATCCCAGCATTTTGGGAGGATGAAGTGAGTAGATTGCTTGAGCCCAGGAGTTTGAGATCAGCCTGGGCAACATGGCAAAACCCTGTCTCTTCAAAAAATACAAAAAATAGCCAGGCATGGTGGTACATGCTTGTAGTTCCAGCTACTCAGGTAGCTGAGATGGGAGGATCACTTGAGCACAGGAAGTTGAGGCTGCAGTGAGCCGAGATTGCACCGCTGCATTCCAGCCTAGAGTGACAGAGTGAGACTCTGTCTCAAAAACAAAAACAACCAACAACAACAAAAGCCCCCACAAAATACTCTGGGGGCTCAATATTAAATGTCCAACTTCTCTAGTATGAGGTCAGTTGAGAAACATAAAACCTCTTCTAATTTTGAGGAGACAGAATTGTCAGGGGAAGCAAAATGACATTAAACGGTGTCTGCTCACCACATGATGATCTGAACAATTTTCATGGTTGCATCACTCAAAGCATTGAAGAAATCCACCAGAATTTGTCCCTTTTCTCCCATTTTTCCAATGACAAGTCCAAAGACAAGGCAAAAGACAATCAAGCCCAGGACGTTTATGCCATCTGAATACATGCCAATGATTTTGTATTCCTTTGTTTTGTTCTGTGGATCAAAACCAAGAAAACATATTGACTCATGATTATAATCTTGTTAGAAAGCACAGGTTTGGAAATGAGAAGATACAATGACCAAACATAATAAACTGGTGATCTCCCAGGCAGAGTCAACAAAACTATAGAAAATATAAAAACAATAATAAAAACACCTATGCATGTAACAAACTTAACCCTTGCTCCCTGAAGTTAACATGCTTTCTCTTCTTTCAACAAGTCCATATTTGAATATTTCTTATAAAGATTTCTTATTCTGGAACGGTTTATATTTTTATTATGAATTTTAGAATCAAGGCACTTTTCAGGGTCATTTTAACTACTAGCTACATTTAGAGTCTGCTTAAAAAAGACAGGAATTAATAATGCAGGAAGTACAAAGTACTTACCAGTGTGAACACTTTTACCATCTGTTTTACCCTGATAATGAAGCACAGTAACATTCTTTATGCCTGTGGTCTTGGATGACCAATAGGATTATTTATTTATTTATTTATTTATTTATTTATTTATTTATTTAGAGACGGAGTCTCTCTCTGTTGCCCAGGCTGGAGAGCAGTGGCACGATCTCGGCTCACTGCAAGCTCCGCCTCCCAGGTTCACGCCATTCTCCTGTCTCAACCTCCCCAGTAGCTGGGACTACAGGCGCCCGCCACCATGCCTGGCTAATTTTTTTGTATTTTTAGTAGAGACGGGGTTTCACCATGTTAGCCAGGATGGTCTGAATCTCCTGACCTCGTGATCCGCCCACCTCGGCCTCCCAAAGTGCTGGGGTTACAGGCGTGAGCCACCGCGCCTGGCCTATTTATTTATTTATTTATTTATTTATTTATTTATTTATTTATTTTTGAGACAGTTTCACTCTGTCGCCCAGGCTGGAGTGCAGTGGTGGTATTTCAGTTCACTGCAAGCTCTGCCTCCCAGGTTCAAGCAATTCTCCTGCCTCAGCCTCCCTAGTAGCTGGGATTACAGGCATCCGCCACCACACCCAGTTAATGTTTTGTATTTTTGGTAGAGACAGGGTTTCGCCATGTTGGCCAGGCTGGTCTCGAACTCCTGACCTCAGGTGATCTGCCTGCGTCAGCCTCTCGAAGTGCTGGGATTACATGTGTGAGCCATCACGCCCAGGCGGGATTCTTTTTTTTTTTTTTTTAAACTTCTATATTCAAGGGTACATGTGGTGCAGGATGTGCAGGTTTGTTTCACAGGTAAACGTGTGTCATGGGGGTTTGTTGGACAGATTATTTCATCACCCAAGTATTAAGCCTAGTATCCATTAGTTATTTTTCCTGATCCTCTCCCTCCTCCCACCCTCCTCCCTCTGAAAGGCCCCAGTGTGTGTTGTTCCCCTCTATGTGTCCATGTGTTCTCATCATTTAGCTCCCACTTATAAGTGAGAACAGGCAGTATTTGGTTTTCTGTTCCTGTGTTAGTTGGCTAAGAATAATGGCCTCCAGCTCCATCCATGTCCCTTGCAAAAGACATGATCTTGTTCTTTTTTAATGGTAGCATAGTATTCTGTGGTGTATATGTATACATTTTCTTTATCCAGTCTATCATTGGTAGGATTTTAGACATACAAAAATTAGCTAAAGACCTACTACTGTGAGTCATGTTTTCGTTTTTACTTTTTTTTTTTTTTAAACAACAGGGTCTCATGTTGTCCAGGCTGGGGTGCAGTGGCATGATCATAGCTCACTGCAGCTTCAGACTCCTCAAGGAGGGCTCAAGTGATCCTCCCACCTCAGCCTCCCAAGTAGCTGGGTCTACAGGTGCATGCCACCATGCCTGGCTTAATTTCTTCACTTTATCCTGGGTACAAATAGCCTGAGATTTACGGAGAGATAACTGAGTGATGCCAACTAGGTTTGTAAAGAATTATGTTAACTAGGCACGGTGGCTCACACCTGTAATCCCAGCAGTTTGGGAGGCTGAAGCAGGTGGATCACCTGAGGTTAGGAGTTCGAGACCAGCCTGGCCAACATGGTGAAACCCCATCTCTACTAAAAATACAAAAATTAGCCAGGCATGGTGGTAGGCGCCTGTAATGCCAGCTACTTGGGAGGCTGAGGCAGGAGAATTGCTTGAACTTGGGAGCCGGAGGCTGCAGTGAGCCAAGGTCGCAGCACTACATTCCAGCCTGGGTGATAGAGCAAGACTCCATCTCAAACAAACAAACAAAAAATTATGTTGAGGAGCCACTGGGCTACCAGTCATTTCTTACTTATGATCAAACATATATTTAGGGCAAAGCTAGAGTATTACTGCAATGGCTATAGCATAAGGTCTTAAGATTCAGTTGGAGAGACAAGACTGTGAGAAGCATGAGCCAATAATAGCAGGATGGTATGTAATTAATTGTGCACTCAAACTATGAGATACAAGTGTCATATGGAAAGTGGGACATGGATGAGGGTTTCAAAGTTAGGGAAAACTATGGCTGAGGAATCAGCAGCCAGGAGAAAAAGCATGTTTCAAAAAGATGGCAAGCAAAGGCAAAAATGATCATGCACTAGGCCTTTGCACCGTGCTTGAATAATTCTTGCTCATTCATTACAGCCTCCAGACTAATTTAACACCCCTTGTTGAATGCCTCCCAAACATCCCACTCTTCCTGATTGTAATACTCATCATTCTTTGTATGAGGACAGAGGCCTGGCATCTGTCTTTTCACTATTATAATCCCAATGTCCAGCAGGGCCTGGGGTATGGAGGGTGCTCAGAAAATATTTGTGGAATAACATCAAAAGGCAAGAATGAAGAGTGATGGAGGAAGTGGATCTGGAAAGAAGAGAGGTGCCCACTGGAAGTAAGTTGTGAAAACTAGAGAGAAGCCAGGTCATGCAGCGCCTCTGAACCTGGTCAGAGGAGTTAAGGCTTTCTGCAGTAGGAAGCAGGGAGCCAACAGTAGTTTATTTAATTTGAATTCTTAAGTCTAATGAATACTCCTTTTCTCCTTAAATCATTCCTTCCTGTGTGAAGTTGAGAGAACATTCAGGAGAAATCACTACAGGCTTACAAAGATACCACTGCAGGCCCACACATTCTGATCTCCAATTCTGAAATCCCCAAAGCTCTCAAAGCATGTGGATTTTATTGATAAGTTTATAGCAAACTCTTTTGGCAGCAAAACCTATCCTAAACTGAGATGAGGCTACTGGCTACTAAGGGTCCATTTCTCTCCTTGGCAGAATATTTATGAGTTTGTTATAAAAACATTGATGTGGTTGATTCTGGCATGTTGTTGCCCTTCTCACGAAGGTTGCATAATATGCAGTACATACACCACATGGCCTTTCTAAAGTCTGAGAAACTCTGAACTCTGAATTACATCTGGGCAGAGAGATTCTGACTAGGAATTGTGGACCTGCATTGCATGCTTATGTATCTGACAAATCTACAGCAGTTCCTAGAGATGGCCAGCTCTACTGTAAGCAGACCTGGAGAGGAAGAGGCAACAGGGCTCATTTTTTTGCTCTTTGTGGTCGATTCTCTCTATTCCTGGTAATTATGTTCTGTAAAGTGCCCATGAACACTGTATTAGCAAATACTGAACTGTTGCTCCTGGGGGAAATGCAGGGTTATGTTTCTGGGAACCTTGGACACATCCTTTTCAGCAAACAATCAATATATAACATTGTTGTATTTCTTTTACAGACACCTTGTTTCATATAGATTGTTGATTTATTAATATAATTAATAATTATTAATATTAATAACAATATTAATAAATATTGTTAATTTATTAATATTAAGATTTATCAATATTAATTTATTAATATTGATTTATTAATATTGATTTATTAATATTGAAAGTACAGGCAAGTGTGTCAATGTGTCTGGAAGTTAATGTTGATTTATTAATATTTATTAATATTAATATAACACTATTAATATAGTGCCAACAGCACTATAACTCATGCCTGAATGAAGCTTTTCTAAAGCACAAATTTTCTCCCTAAGGCACATCAAATGCCTTAGGAACATCTTGTGCTTAGGAACCCTGGAGACCACTTCAACATGATGCTTATTTTTTTTGAAACAAGAGTCTTGCCCTGTCACCCAGGCTGGAGTGCAGTTGTGCAATCATAGCTCAAACGATCCTCCTGCCTCAGCCTCTCAAGTATCTGGGACTACAGGCCTGTGCCACCACACCTGGGTTATATTAAGATGTTTGGTAGAGATGGGGTCTCACTATGTTTCCCAGGCCAGTCTCAAACTCCTGGCCTCAAGTGATCCACCTGTCTTGGCCTCCCAAGTACTGGGATTACAAGTGTGAGCCACCATACCCAGCCTGGTCCTTTTTTTTAAATTTTTTGACACAGGGTCTCTGCTATCCAGGCTGAAGTGCAGTGATTCAATCATGGTTCACCGTAGCCTTGACATCCCTAAACAAGCGATCCTCCTACTTCAGCCTCCCAAGTGGCTGGGACTATAGGTGTGCACCATCATACCCGGCTATTTTTCGTTTTTTGTAGAGGTGAAGTGTCACTATGTTGTGCAGACTGGTCTGGAACTCCTGGGCTCAAGTGATCCTCCCACCTCGGTATCCCAACATGCAGGGATTACAGACGTGAGTCACTGAACCCTGCCCTGGTCCATTTTAAACAGCAAAATCAGTAAGGAAAATCACAAAAATGCAAAAAAGATGATACTAAACACACTGCAAAATGGACACTTGTTTCCAGTATGAGAATCAAAGCAAGAAAGCAGAGCACAACTTTGTTCACCTTAGCTGGGAACGTGCCTGTCGGGTGACTCAAATATTTTGCTGCTTTTTATGTACCTGTGGATGACCACGAAAGCCCCATAAGTATGGATTTTGGGGTCACAAATAAATTTTAGCAAGTAGGTGAATTCACAAATGCAGATTCTGTGAATGACGAGGATTGACTGTATTTCCTACTTGGTCATGAGTCAGTGCCTGTCTCCTGGGGAAGAGGAACAGGAAACAAGAATGGTACCTTGGAAATAGCAGTTGTCATGACAGCTGTGAAGGATTCTTCTGTCGTGTTCGTCTCTGGATCTCTGGGAGGCTTCACTTCTTCACGCTTAGTTTTGTACTGCACGTTGGAGAAAATCAAGGACAAGCAAACAAAATGTTTTTTAAGCTTTTGAGACTAAATCACAGGAACATGTTATTTTGGTCAAACAAGTGCCACTGAAGGGATCTACCTCCAATGCCTCTGTTGGCTCCAGTTGTCAATGGTACCTCCCATCAGGTTTTGGAACTAAAAGCAAGGCAGAAATGTAAACCCCTGACTCCCACAATCACCATTCACTTATGTCAAAATGTTCCTTCACTTTCACAATAAGCGACAAGTTGATGGAGGAATAATACAAAAGAAAGTACAGGCTTGATCTGCAGGTGCTTTCAGAGACAGTCTCTGTAAGGATTCCTGTCAATCATTTTTGTTTTTATTAATTAATAAATTATTTTTAATTTGAGCAAAAACACTTCATCACTTTGATAACATCACCACGACTTTAATAAGCATCAAGAAAGGTTTAACAATATGGTTGTTCCAAAATCAACAGTCCCCTTAGGGCTATTCAGTGAGAGTGCTGTTGAATTCTCTCCTTTCAGCCCTGTTTGGTTCTGTGGAGCTTCCACATGGGGGTTTAAGAAGGAGTGAGTATATTATTAACACCAGGCATAAATGTTCCCCCTACAAGGCTCTGCCAACACCGAGAACCTTACAAACAACCACTGTGACTGATTTGCAAATGCCCCGCTGTAATAGAGGAGGTTCTGTCCCTTGTGGAGGTCGGCAGAGAGCAACAGAGTTGCCATTTTTGTTGGTATACACAGAAGCCTCTGTTCATGTAACTTATGTAAATGAATACAGCAGTTTGTGATGGACTCAGCTGTCTTAAAGCACATAAATAGGAGGGAAAGGCTTGAAGTAAATGGAGTGAAGAGATTGTTCAATTTTCCTACAGAAAAAAAATTCATGGCTTTGTTACACTACGTTGTAGAGCTCCAGCAATGGGGATGCAATGATTTATTATTTCTTTTTAGAGACATGGCCTTGCCATGTTGCCAAGGCTAGTCTGGAACTCCTGAGCTCAAGGGATCTCCCACCTTGGCCTCCCAAAGTGCTGGGATTACAGGTTTGAGCTTCCACACCTGTCTGGGACACAATGATTAAGGAGAAGACTGAACCCAGATGTGGACCACACCAGGAGGGTTAGATCCTGGGTTCTAATACCAGAGGAAAAGCAAAGAGGAGATAAAGAGCTACCTTTTCTCTGCAGAAAGTTTAAACTTCTATACAAATATACCATGGTTCTCCAAAAATAGGTACTGGAGGCCACATTTAAAAATACTCATTATTTGACAGATTTCTGACTTGTACCATTTGAGCCCTTTTGCGGGGGAAAGCATAAAGGAAAAGGAAGCAGTGTAAATTGTGACATGCACCTTACTGTGAGCCAGAAAGGCTAGATACAAAATAGAGACATCACCTTAAACTCGGCCAGTCACAGGTGTACGTCCTGCTGCCATTTTTGCGGGGCTAATTCCATTTCTTGAATCACAGCAGAAAAAAACATTTTTTAATTGATAATGGGAAGAGGGTAGCAACTTAAGAGCACAAGTAATTAATATTACCTGCTGAAAACAGGCCTGGACAAGATTCTCAGGGAACATATTCCTGTTGGAGACATGAAAGGCAGTATTATGTTAGGGCAAAAAGTATTGTTTTGTCATACGTAATATATTGGTAGAAATGAGTATAATATAAAACTAGTACTCTGGTTTCTCTTCTGGCCTCTCCTTTGCGGAATACTTCCATGTATTGAGATTTCTTTTTTCCTGCTGAGCTTCACCCAAGTATAGAAAGCTCTCCTAATCAACTATCACTTAACTGATTCACTGAGTAACTGACATGCTTGCTCTCCTTGGTAAAATGAACACTCACAGTCAAGAGACTATTTATTCTTTAATATTCTGAACATTTCTGTTTTCATCAATGACGTTGTATGCTTACTGATATGGTTTGGCTCTGTGTCCCCACCCAAATCTCATGTCAAATTGTAATCCCCACATGTCAGGGGAGGGGCCTCATGGGAGGTGATTGGATCATGGTGGGTGGTTTCTCCCATGCTATTCCTGTGATCATGAGTGAGTTCTCACAAGATTTAGTTGTTTGAAAGTGTATGGCACTTCTCCCTTCGGCCTTGCTCTCTCTCCTGCAGCCATGTAAGACGTGCCTTGCTTCCCTGCCTTTGCCATGATTTTAAGTTTCTTGAGGCCTCCCCGGCCATGCGGAACTGTGAGTCAATTAAACCTCTTTCCATTATAAATTACCCAGTCCCAGGTAGTTCTTTATAGCAGTGTGAAAATGGACTAATACACTTACCATGGGTTCATTGTATTTGTTCCCAAATTCTTTATACCAGTTGCAAATATCATCATAATTACTGAATTTCATATTATGTAAACCAGTGAAACAGGAGCATAAAAAGGAAGGTATGGTTTCTATAAAATCTAAGCCACATGCCTGGGAACTCAATAAAGGCCAATGACTAAGATTTTTATGGTTAGATTAGGTATGGGAAGATTATTGAAATTAAAAAGAAAAACTGGAAAGATTTACACTCAGCTTTCTTTGCAATGTCCAAAGGTTTTGGTGCTCTGTTCTACAGAAACTTTATCTGGAAATTGCAGATGATACGTTTATAAGGGCTGTATACGCAACAGAAACTTTAAGAAATTACCATGAGCTAACAAACTTGAAGAAAAGACCTTGACTTTATGTCAAACAATTGGTGAATAAATGCACTAAGTGTTAAGTGAAAACAAAATATGTAATGTGTATCTTATGTCCTTTTTTATGAGTCTCTGCTTTAATTGGTATTTTTTATTGACTGACCTATTTACAGCTCTGGTTGCTTTCAATAAGAGAGTTTCTCCTGTACAATTAAAAAATGGATTTTTCTAAGTGCGCTTCAGAACTGACTACCAATCCATCCCAGCATCTCTCTGGAACATGTATCAGCACTTCTGTTCATCCTAAATCCTGACTCAGAAGCCTGTTTCTTCTCTTCCCTTTTGGAACCAAGACTTGGCAAGCAGTACTGGCTATGTAATTTGTGGGTTCCTGAGCAAAATGAAAGTGCACAATAATTCAAAAGTTATTAAAAATTTCAATAGAGTAACAGCAGAATATACGTACAAGGCCTTGTGCTACTATAGGGTTGCATATCCTTGAAGCCACCTTGTGGCAAGACACTCACCTGATGAGATCTAACATGGCATCCACCGTACTGACTTCAGGGGTGCTGCCTGTCCTGTCGATTTCAGCCACTTTCTGGGTGACACCAGGCTTAATGCTCACCACCAGCACAATACCTGTGGCCAAGGACAGTGTCCACAGAGCATTAGGAACCTTCCAGGGCACCTGGCACAGCTAGTACCTTTAGAACAGTGGGCATGGTTATACCAGGCACTAGTGTGATGGGGAGGACCCTGAGGTCCAGCCAAAATGCTGAGCCTCCTCTGGAATCTCAGCAACCACTTTAATTACTCTTACATTTAAATGAGTAAGCAGAAAGAACTCCGTGTGCTTGCGTGCATGTGTGTGTGTGCATGTGTGTTTAAAATGAAGGGGCTGCATCCCAGAATTGCTTCTGGAAACACCTGCTGATGAGAATATTCTTTTTCTTGAACTTATGAGATCAGCCTAGGAAGGTGTTAGGGTAAGGATGATCCATTTTCCAGCCCAGAGAATGCATCTGAGGTCTTTCTGCAACTTTTACCCACAGATGCTGGTTATCCTCCTGACAATACAAAACCAGCCTTGCCTTCCTTCCATACCATAGGTCTTCAAGTATCTCGAAAGCAGTCATGTGGGAAAATGCTGTTCCAGGGGTGGAATGAGGACAAATAGATGGAAGTTATAGGGAGAGAAGGTTCATCTCTCTGTAAGGAAGAACTGTCTACATGGCAGAGCATCTGACATCACCATTGTGGCCTTGGTAAGTAATGGGTTCCTGTCACTTGAGTGTCCAAGCCAAGGTGGGAGGCTGTAGAAGAGACCAAGACATTGGAGGGTGTTTGACTGGAGGGAAGTGAAGAAGAAAAAGGTCCTTATGCTCCTTATTGCTCCTCCCTCAAGAGGAGGCAATGGTAATCCAAGGGGTAGGGCTCTGGTATGCTGAATGGGTCCGTTTTGCTAGTGGGAGGAGTTGCTGGGCAATAAGGGGCCATGAGTGGGCATGGCCCACTCTTTTCCTCTCTCAGGGTTGTAGAAGGGCTATATGCCTCCAGCTAATAAGAAAGCAGGATCTTGCTTCTCATTGCTATTTTTTCTCTGTGTCTGTCTTCCTCAGGAAACTCATGAGATGATGTGGTTTTGTTTTATGGCAGAGTTCAGGCTCTCCTGGGTCCCTTGGCCTAATACCATTAAAGCTTCACCACATCCCACCTCTTCTTATCAGCTTATTGAAGCAGGGCTACAAGGGCCGAGCTGCTGCCTCATCTGAGTACATGCTCTTTCTGTCTTCCCCCTCTGGACATTCTTCTTAAAATGTCACTCAGGGTTACAAAGACCAAGCATTCTTCAAAAAACCATGCTAAAGGTATAAGAGCAGCTACTCCCTTACTAGAATTTTCTCCCTCTTACAAGTGGGATTTGTCCTTAACAATGATAGCTGTTAGCTCTTGTTACTATGTGAAATGCACTAAAATGCTATATTTCTGGAAATATTTTATAATTATACTCAACTTCACTATTATAGACCAATTATTCACTTTAAGAATTATGTAAGTGGCTGGGCATGGTGGCTCACGCCTGTAATCCCAACACTTTGGGAGGCCAAGGCAGGTGGATCACCTGAGGTCAGGAGTTTGAGACCAGCCTGGCCAACATGGCGAAACCCTGTCTCTACTAAAAAACTACAAAATTACCTGTAATCCCAGCTACTCGGGAGGCTGAGGCAGGAGAATCGTTTGAACCCAGGAGGCAGAGGTTGCAGTAAGCCGAGATCATGCCACTGCACTCCAGCCTGGGTGACAAGAGTGAGACTCCTTCTTGAAAAAAAAAAAGTAGTTAGGGTCAGGCACGGTGGCTCATGCCTGTAATCTCAGCACTTTGGGAGGCTGAGGCAGGCAGATCCCTTGAGCCCAAGAGTTCAAGACCAGCCTGGGCAACATAGCAAGACTCCCCACGTCTCTTTTTAATTTTTAAAAAATATATTTTTAAAAAAGTAGTTGAGCTTTTCTTAACACACAATTTTTTTTTTTTTAATCAGAAAGTAGTATTGTCAAAGTACCATAAAGTTTTCCCTTTGAAGTCTGTCTGCCAGGTTCAAGTGATTCTCCTGCCTCAGCCTCCCAAGTAGCTAGGACTACAGGTGCATGTTACCATGCCCAGCTAATATTTTTGTACTTTTAGTAGAAGCAGGTTTTCATGTTGGCCAGGTTGGTTTCAAACTCCTGACCTCAAGGGATCTGCTCACCTCAGCCTCCCAGAGTGCTGGGATTACAGGCCTGAGCCACCGCATCTGGCCGCCAACTACTTTTTGAATGAAAAAAAATTACCATTACATAGAGGAATAAGGATTCAGAAATAAATATTACCTAGAATAACAGCAATGAGAGTGGTACAGAAATAATACACAACAGCACGTAGACCAATTTTTCCAGATACGTTGGAATCCAGTGCAGCAACACCTGAAGGGCGAGACAGAAATCAAATTACATTAATTTTAAAAGACAGGTTTCCCGCAATTTAATCCTCAAGGTGTGAAATAAAGAGCTGAGAGGTGTTCTCATCTACAGACAATGGGCAATAACATGCAATGGGCAAAAGCAACACTTCAAAATTCCAAACAGATGTAAGAGAGGGAAGCCCAGTCAGGTGCAAGTTCCCCTGCAGGCAGCTTCCCACAGCCTTGACCTCCAGGAGTGCCCTGCCTTCAGATCTTCTTGGAGTTGGTCAGAAAATGATCATAAGGAGTCACCCTCCCACATTTGCAGTAAGAACTTTACCAAGATTTGTATTATATCATTCAACATCCCTTATGATAAACCTCCTTTGGAATTCAGTTATCTAGGAAAAGTTTATCTTGAAGATCTGAGATCTTTTGTTGTTGTTGTTGTTTGTTTGTTTGTTTGTTTTGAGACAGAGTCTTACTCTGTCACCCAGGCTGGAGTGCAGTAGTGTGATCTCGGCTCACTACAACCTCCGCCTCCCGGGTTCAAGCGAGTCTCCCGCCTCAGCTTCCCGAGTAGCTGGGATTACAGGTGCACACCACCATGCCCAGCTAATTTTGGTATTGTTAGTAGAGATGAGGTTTCACCATGTTGGCCAGGCTTGTCTCAAACTCCCGACCTCAGGTGATCCGCCACCTTAGCCTTCCAAAGTGCTGGGATTACAGGTGTGAGTCATCATGCCTGGCCTGAGATAGTTTTTTTTTTTTTTCTAATACTTGAGAAATCATATAACTCATGATAGTTTTCCTTTCTGCCCTTTCCAGGAAGCTTAGGCTCAACTGGAAAAAATAATTTTTATATACAATTATAAAAGTAATATATATTCATTATAACTATCTGAAAAAGGAGAAAAGGTAAAGATGACAACAAAAATCACATCATCTTATCAACCAAGTTAATATTCTGGTGAATTTTCTTCTAATATTTTTCTCAATATTTTGTAAACAGCTGAGAGAATTTTATAGTTTTTAACCCTCTCTCTTCTTAATATTGTAGTTGTAAGCATTTTCCCTCATTGTTATAAACTCACCCTGAGGATAATTTTAATGGCTCAATAATCTGTCATGTGGCTATACCAGAATGTATTTAATGATCCACTTATTGCTGGATCTTTAAATGGTCCTGGGGCCAAATTCACAGTAATGTCATTATCCATTCTGGTTGGTGTGTTTCCTTCCTCTTTTCATGATTTTCAAATTGCTTTTGTGTAAACAACCTTATTGTGTATAGCTTTTATTGTGAGACATCTTAAAATTTCTATTTGAAAGAGGAAAGATATTAATAAATAATTTCCCAGGGCACAGGTAATGTCAGAGACTTACAATCATTTGGTTAGATCTCACTTCAAATGGTTCTTGGCTACCAGTAATATGACTAAGTGTTGCCCAGATTTGAAAGGGCTGTCTGGGGTGTCAAGGACAGCTGGATTAGAGGTGGAAGGCAGGCATCCCTCCTTGCCAGAAACCCTTGCTCTCTGTCAAAGATGCTCATATAAATGGAGTCAAAAGCGGTTCTCCAATTGGACTTGGACATGGGAAATGGGCCAAGTTGAGAAACAACGGAATCATCTTTCAGCAAGCTGTCACTGGAGGTTTCAGACACTACCCAGCCTGATTTCCAAAATGAGGGTCATATTTTGAGTCAAAGGATCATTATAGAAAATGATTTTGCATATTCAGCACACATGAGTTGTCCCATAACCATTTGCAAAGCCTAAGGTACAGGGTAGCAGGAAAAAGGAAGAGGTTGTCACAAGGCAACCCCAAGGGAAAGGCAGTAAACCTGTATGGCGATCAGCATGCATAGGTAACTTTTATGTTCATTTCCCACACTAAAAGGCCTATCCATTTTTTTTAAGTAACTGGGGGATTATGCTTCTCATATATAATCATACATATTTGATGTACAGGAAAAATCTGCAAGGAAGTGATCACCATTATGACAACAGAACAAGTCATTTCTCACTCTAAACATACCATTTCTCTGGCTGTTGATTGCTCCTTTGGAAGTTAATATTTTGAGAGAAGGTGCTCTGGCCTCTGTAGCAGCTACCCCAGAATGTTGTTAAGGGGCCATTCATCAACCTCTGGGAAAAGATTGTGCAATTGCCATATAATGGGCATACTGCAATAGTCACATTCTAGAATAATTTTTATGATAGATTCTATTTGATTTGAGAAAAATGCAGTTTGCTGTGTTGAAGAGTCTTTCTTTTCCTCACAGTAAGACAACGAAAGGTAACAATTAGGCAAGCAACAACAAAAAAGTCAAGAGAGACTGAAGGCCAAAATTTAGAAACAAATTCACTATCTCATGTTTAGTTTAGGTCTCTTAAAGAGCAAATCATAATGCAAATATGTAAGTTTGCTAAGTATATTATATGATTATAAAATATGTACCTATTTCATTTTAGAGCTCAGTGTATTGTTTTGATAACTATAATAATTATTTCAAACAAAAATCATAGGTTAAAAAGAAACAAAAAGAATCACCACCTTAACAGACTGTAAGTAACTCATCTGTAGCCCTAATATGGGATCTATTTTCAGATATATTGTCCTTCTTTGGTAGATATCTAATTTAAGCAGATTCCAGCCCCTAAAGTGCTGACAAGTGAGAGTCACAGAGCGGTTACAGAGCTGTTCTCGGAGGTGTGTTTGGTGCTCTTTCAGGATTTTCTTCCAGCAGTGAAACAAATTAAATCTATGTGGGTAATTGTTTCCAGCATATGTTAATATGTCTTAATTTGTCTTAATGATTTGGCCATGGGCTGGTGCCTCTGCTTGTACTCCAGGACTCAGCTGGCAATAAAAGGCTTGATAATAATGAGATCTTGGTGAAAATATCTTAAACAAATACATCCCCAAGTAGACATCCAGCTTCCCCTCTGTCCTGGAGCACAGCAACTATCTTGCAGTAACTTTCGCACGGTCCTTTGTTTTCCATTCCTCTAATCTACCTCCATCCTACTGTTTTCCCGGATATATCAGATATTTACTCAAATCAATAATTATACTTCTCTGCACTGTATAGTTACCTCTACCTCTGTACAGTTACCACTGTATAGTTACCCTCTACCTCTCTAGTCATCAATATGGGGGCAGAGCTGGCCCCCAAGTCCAGGCTCTTGCATGATTTATAATGCATTGTTGGGGATAAGAGTGGTGACCACTATAGAGGGAGAGAACAAAACAGGGAAACAGCCTAATCTTTGAAAACCTCTGTAAATAGGAACATTACAGAACTTAATGACCATAAAATGTCTGTCTGGATGGTTGTAAACACCCCACCTGCCACTAATATCAATAATGATGAGGATGATAATTATAATACAAATAATGATAATGACAATAAACACTATATTGACTGCATGTTAATGCATCATCTTTAATTCTCATTATAACCCAGGGACGCAGGCATTATTACGCCCATTTTACAGAGGACAAAACTGTAGCTCAGAAAGGCTAAGTACCATATAATCATAAAGCTGGTAAGGTGAGTGGTAGAGCTGGGACTCCAATCTACATTTTACCTCAAAGGCCATATTCTTAACCACTATTCCATATTGACTCTATCCATGTGCTACAAAATTCTAGACTAGCACTGCCCAGTAGAGCTTCCTGACAGAAAGGTTCTGTTTTTGTGCTGTCCCCTGCAGTAGCCACAAAGTGCACATGGTTAGCAAGCACTTGGAAAGTGGCTAGTGTGACTGACGAACTGAGTTTTCATTTTAGTTAATATATATTTATTTATTTATTTATTTTTAATTTTAAAGATGAGGTCTCACTATGTTGCCCAGGCTGGTCTTGAACTCCTGAAATCAAATGATCCTTCCACCTTGGCCTCCCAAATTGTTAGGATTATAGGTGTGAGCCACCACACCTAGCCAATTTTAATTAATCTCAATTTAAGTAGCCACACGTGGCTAATGGCTATCCTATTAGACAGCCCAATGTCTCTAGACCCTACCAGTGTTTAGCATTTAGTGCGTGCTCAACAATGTTGAATGAACAAACTATAGCTTAACTCTATTATCAAATTCAGGAAAAGTTCTTTGCCTTGCAAGCATGGGCAGGGGAAAGGAAGATGCTAAGCCCAAATCTCCTGGCACGTAGTTCTATCTATTGCACTGACTGTATTGCTCTAAGGCCTGAAGCTTATTCTTCACTGGGTCCCCAGTGCCTTAAATAAGGTGCTCTACGAATGTTTGTACTTGAAGCTTTCTACAGGACAGAAAGAGCTGCATTTTCTTACAAGTAATCCTCTCCTTACAAATGACCCCATTTCAAAGATCCACTTGTGAGTTTGAAACTTGGAACTCAGCAGGTAGTCTCCTTAGAAACCACTTATACATGGTGGTTTAGTTTGGTTCCCAGGGCAGCCAACGAGAACACTTTTCACCATAAAAGACTCCACAGGGGAACATATGTAACATCTCAGTCTTTTTCAACCTTGTTTTGTTGTTGCTATTGTGCAACCCACCCCCCAAAGCCTTTTTCCTAATCGCCACCCCTGTGAAATTCTAAAACCACAAACTGTGTATCTGGTTATATAGTAAATGATACATGTGTTTTTTACATAAAACAAGTAAGATTTTCTCCCCCAACTCACCACCACCAAATAAAAACAGCTTTTGCTACCTTGGGGACAATATTGTCTTGGTGAGAACTTGTGGTCTAGCTCAATGAATGTTGACTGTGAGAATGAGAATCCAGGCACTAGACTCTTACTGGCGGGACATCAGAGAGCAGGCCCACCTTAGTCCCAGACAAGTAAAACCTCATTTGCACTTTATTTCTGAGTTTTTACTCTCAATGGCCACCTGTGTTTCTTGCTCTCAGCCCATCTTTGGTGGCTGGCAAGGTCTAAAGGACCCCCTTGCTTTACAGTTCACTATCAGAACTCGTTTCTCCTGGGAGCTGAAAGCTGTCCTATAGGAGGTGATAAATGAGAGGGAA